GGCAAGATGACAAGAAACTGCCATGGTGAGTGATTTGAGTCCCAGCAACTTGTTATGATAGTAGATTACATTCTATTATATCACAGGGTTTGGCTGTGATGATATTTCACAGCAAAAGATTAAAGATACATAACAATGCCAGAAACTTTATGAATGGTCTCTCTCACATTTCGTTCCACAATTAAAATTAGTACTCAGGAACAGTAATAAACAATTCTGGGAAAGCTTACAGTCACTCCAAAAAGAATGCGCAATTTTTGTCTGTCAGTATTTCCTTCAATTGTTAAGCCAATAAGCTTTTATTGTTTATTTTTGTATGTTAGTACTAAGCTGTCAATGAGTACTTTGGAGTAGATGATGGCCTTGTCCACTATGTCCTGTTCATCAAGTTGATCATACAAAAACAATGGGAGAGAATACAAAGTATCACATAACATTTCAAATTTCTACACTGTTACAGAAAAAGACACATACCAGTTGTGCATAAAATTATATAGGACAATTTCAATGTTAATTGGTAGATTTAAAGCTTCCTTAACAAGGGAAAAAATGGGCACACATTTCACTGGCTATCAGCTCAGGGAAGAAGAAAATAATTTGTTTTATGATACACAGGCAGAGAAATTTCTTAAACTTCCTCATCCTCATGCCCTAAGCAGTTAGCATTTGATTTATTGCCCTTCTAATTCATTCCTCTCAGTAATCCTGTGGAGCACATATTATTATCCCCATTTTATAGATGAGGAGATGGAATTTTAGAACTGGGTAGATCAAGTCATACAGCTAAGAGGAAGGACTGCTTTAACTCAACCATAGCCCATGCACACTCATGAGGTACACATGTGCTCCCTCTGTGATGCTTCTTCTAGGAACCGGAGGTAGTTGCCGGTTGAGGATTCTGTTCTCAGGAAAGATAGTTTGCAACATCTGGATAAGGGTAATGACAGGAGGATGGCAAAGACAACGCTACAAATAGGTCTCAGGTTAGTGCCCTGGAACTGAGGCATCAAGAGAGGAGAATCTGTTTTCTTATACCTTACCTTCTTTGGAGTTGTCAAAGAATTTCAAGATCAGAATTCTCTTCCATGTCTAGGAAAATATCCAGTCAAACTTACCTTGGGGAGAACAAAAGACTTAGATTGCTGGTCCCTAAGCTGCTTACCTAATTCTTCTTCCAAAGTAACTAGGTCAAGTAAGAGACACATGGGTGGGGCTGGGAAGACAGACTACCCGAGCCAAGGGGGTTTAAACAGAGGAGGAAAAGAGGTTAGGAGGCATGGTCCTGTAGCCAAGGGAGAAGGGAGTATGTCTTGAAATCCTACATTCAGTGAAATATTGGAGCAGAAGGCTGCTTCTACCCCATATTTATCTCACTTTCAATACATGTACTTATCAAATAAGTATCTACTAGGTGCCTAGTATGGTAAGTGGATTAAGAACTACAGCCATAAAGCAAACTCAGTTCACTGAACCTTAGGAGATCACACACCCTGTCTAATTCTATAGTTAGGCAGACATGGTTTATGGCTGGATTAGGGACTGATGAGGTGTTTCTAACTTCAAAAGAGAAAGACTTCTGGGAGAAAAAGCAAGTGTAGGGACAAAACAAAGAACAAAGGATTTTCTGAGTGACCCTAGAAATGTGTGTGGTCAACATGGCACAATCGGAGGTAGTGAGAAAAAAACCGGAACATTCGAAGACTAAAAGGTGCAAAGACACAACGTATTCAGGATAGACAGGGAACAAGCTGTATTGCATGGGATTGCCTATAGACTAGAGGCACACATTCTCAGATAGTGTAGTAACTGGTGTACTTTTGCACTGAAACCTGCTCGGGTTAACTTCAAAGAAGCTGGTGCAGATCTCATCAGTTACAGAGAAGCCTATAATGTTATCCAGGTCAACTCCCCTGGTCCACCTGTCACCCACTGCTTCTGTCAATCAGATTTGTGGGACCCCTCTTTTTTTTGTAGATTCAGTCATCCAGGATCTATAAACACATAAGGAGTCCAGAAGTTAATTCAATTGACCCCATATCTTCAAGACTGTGATGAATATAGGCTGGTAAATAGTCAGTATTCATAAGGCTGTGGGATTCCTTTTCACGACTCTCTCACCAGTCCTTGAGCTTGTGCATGGATTCAGTCCCTGCTTGCTACAAGCACAATTTAGCCTCCTTTAAAGATCATGGGGGAAATGTCCTATTCTTTTTGAGTAATGGTAAATTTCTTAAAGTGATAGAAATGGTGTCCTTACAACTCCATTGCCTTCCAGATTCCCCCACAGGGGAACTGTTTTCTCACTGTTGAACTCTAGACAGGAAACCTGATGTGGAATTGCTTCACATTCTTAGTGAATCAGGCCACCAGAGGAAAAGAAACACATTAGAAGGAGTTTATCTTTTCTAAATCAGGCTTGGCTCAAGGGGGAAACAGGGATGAATTGAGGTAAACACTGCCTCCCGGCTTTAATTCCTTATCAATAAATTTGCTCCTGGCTTAACAAACAAAAATTTCTTCATTGTATTCAAGCATATAAATAAAATATACAGTATGGAAGAATGAATAATTTAAAATATGGTTTTATTGATAAAGATATTAACAAAGGAAGTCAACAGACGCAATACAGGATCTGAGTCAGTCAGGAAGACATAAAGAACTTCTCAGACACTGTGAAAATCACACATACTGTACAACCAATATAAAAAAGTTTCTACATTTGAAACTTCTATATATTTCTATATAATCTAATATCCTTTCTTGTAGCTAGTTATAATGGATCTGTTCGTCATGTTTCTTCTTTAATTTCACTGCAGTAACACACTTGAGTGAACTCAGACATGGTACATTTAACCAATTTGGCACTATGCCTTAGGTTTATTAAACATACAAAGATTCTATGGGCTGTCTATAAACTCTAGCCCCACAGATAATTCTGCAGCTGTAAGTACTGTCCCTAAGGTGATTTCTCACTCAGCTGTTGTTGGGACTTAGCACACCAGGTAAACAATCCACACACTTAAGTGTATTATCCATGTATGCTAATTTTACAATGGGCTTCTTAGGATTTTTCATGCATGTACACATACACTTTGATAATGAGCATTCCCCCCTCCTCCTGTATACTCTTCTCGTTTAAACCTTTCCCATATAGTTCTAAATGTCTGGATTCTGCATATGAGAACTGTGGGGTTTGTCTACCTGCCTCTACCTGCTCTACCTACTACATTGGACCATTATTTGTTCCACAGATATCACTCAGCGATTTAACCTGTGTTTCATTTCTTCCCACGTTGCAGCCTCCAGAACCTTAGCGTGGGGATTGGACAGGATCTTAATATTTCCTGTTTGAGTTATTGCGTATTCTTCCTTGCAGCCATCATATCCTGAGATTAAATACTTTGTAAAGTTAGAAAATAAGTGAATTAGTTACTTTACATTTTTCCAATAAACAGAAAAAATTATTCTCATTAATGATTTTTCTAGATTTTTCTTCTGGAATCCTTTCCCAGAGTGGGGTACAAATAAATTAATAATAAACATAACTTAAGTAAGTCAGTATTCGTAGTAAACATTTCATTTGTATATTGTAAGCTTCCAGGCTGAATTTTTTAATTTCTAATGTGGAATTTTTAATGTTAAAAGGTTATACTACAATTCTTTTCTTCAAAGATCTCATTTAGCAGATAATGTCTAATTTTATATAAAAGGAGAAAAGTTTCTTTTGATCTATCTTTCTACTATGTCTAACTTACAGTCCTATATGCTAACGAAACAAAGTGTCTCAAGGATCATGTCTTTAGAATTTCACATGAGTCAAAAGCAATCTGAGGTAGTTCGCATGAGAATTAAGTAGCATAGGGCTACAGGTTTCATCTTTCTCCGGCGAAGTAAGTGTAATCTAACATCAGGACCACTGTCATAATGTAGATGCAACACAAGTCTTGATTGTTACAATGAACATGCTTTAAAACCCATAAGCATCATCTCATTGCTTGACTACTGTAACAGCCTTTTCTTGGAGAGTCATGAAGGTGGTATGCACTATTAAACACGTAAAATAAGTAAAGACATGAGAATTGCACCAACCATATTTGCTGTGTATGCAGCTTGTAAGTAATTTCAATAATCACTGATTTGAAATAAGCCTACATAAACTTTGACTCGGGACAAAAACCTAGTCAGAAGATTTTTTTAAGCAGACAAAAGAATGTATGTCATATATGATTTTAAGATATCTAAGCTTTCAATGTATTTTTATATTGCTTACACTGAATCACTGTAATGCACAGGGATTGCGAAGGGAAAAGCAAGTTAACATGTGGGAGCCTTAGGTTCCTTCTAGTTCCTTTATCCTCTTAACTGTTCCTTTTTTATGATGCTATCATTTAAATTGAACAAAGATGCACACTTAATAAAAATAACAAATTTGTTTTTTATCTGTAAGTCCTTTGGTCTTTACAATGGTCTGTAGTGCTGGATGGCTTTCCATTTTCCTCATGAAGAAATCGATGTACAGTTAAGATAAGACAATCTACTAGACACAGCAGCCATTTAAGGCGTCTCTGAATCTATCACACTTGGGAAATGGATACTGCCCACACAAATGAACCCTGTGAAGTGCAGAGCTGTCTGGAGCTCTCACTGACAGCTTGATGAGCCAGCACATGTAAAGATGGTGGAAGTCTCCTCTGAAGAGCCCTGTGAGCATATTCACTTGCATGTCTGCTTCTCTAACCCAGCTTTGTCTATGGCTCCTGAAATTACACTGGGTCCTCCCAACTTGTGTGAGTTCACCTTCTCTCTGTCTCCACAAATGCGAATTTCCTCTTCACATTCCTCTTTAGTATGGTAATTAAATATAAACTAGTGTAGAGTCCATAGTTGGCAAAGGAGGGAGTCACCCACCCTGTTACAAGCTTCACCATTTACCTCCTAGTGAGGCTGCTGCAGTCCACCACGCCCCCCCAACACCCCCCCCACATGGCCTGAGACCCAGCTGCAGCCACCATCTCTTGCGAGGAAAGCCTTCAGTCTGCTGTCAGTTCACTTCAGGAGCACAACCCACAAGGGATGGCCCCCAAGCATGTGCAGCACTTTTCTGTGCAAAGTTCCAAGGAGCATATGCGGAGCAAAGCCTGGTGCTGTGTTTATCTTCTTTTGGCCTCACAGAGCTGGTTTTCAGCTTTTCAGCACGTGCCGCCTTCCCTGGCCTTCCATCTCAATTTACCAGGAAGCCCTGAGCTCAGGCAACTTATCCAAAGTCACACATGAGTGGCTTACCAGAATTCATAGCCCAGAACTGTCATGCTTCCTAAATCCTTTATTATGAGCATTATAACATAGCATCCTCCAGGTCTCAGTATTAAAATCATGTAAATTTATTCTCCAGCATGATTCATTAAAATGAAAATGGGCCATTTTCACTGATTCTCCGTGTACTTCAGAAGCAGCCTCACATCCTGAATACAGATTTCGTTCCTCGGAAGGAGACAAGAAAAGAAGTTAAACCTTTACTTGTATTGGATGACGATTCAACCTAAAAGAGCTTTTGCTTCTGTTTTCTCTCTGAAATATTTAAAAGGGACCCAAGCAGGATTAGGGTTCAGAATAGCCACAGTTGCATTTTTAACATCCTATAATGCAATACAGCTAAAGGATACAGTGTTGGGAATCTGATAAACCCCTCCAGATAAAAAGTTAGTATAAAATTAAATAAACAATCAACCTATACGAAATGCACATTCACTTTTAAAATACCTTTGTCATCATGAAACACGTATCAATTCCCTTTATAGGTGATATCTCATTTTCTGATTAAATAACATTAAAATGGTAATACAATAACCACATTGTATTCATCAATAGGAAGTTGTGCTTGTGATTATAGTTAAGACATAACCAGGGGAAAAGGAACTATAAACTATGCCTTGGTCTTTTTCTTCTTTCTCAATGAAAATCCTCCTGCTGTGGCTCCAACTTTTGCAATTATGTAACTTCACTTTTGGGAGTTTGCATTAGCAAACATCTTCAGGGAAATGCTGTGTGGACATCTTCCACAGGTAGAGCATCAGGGTCGGCGTTCTGTGTGATAAATGTTATCATCTGATTGTGGAATAGGCAATATACTGAAATAAGTCTAAACTGTGTGTCAGTGGGATAAGAAAGTAGCTACCAAATAAGGGACACCACAGTAAACATCACTCTCTTTTTTAAAAAAAAGTTCATGTTAGAGTCAAGCATGGAACCTTCTAGATCAGAGCAGAGGTGAGGAATGAGATGACAATGGACCCCTGTGCAAACCCTACTGTACCACTCTCACGAACACAACCTTACACATGACTTGCTCTGTGTGTGCAATGTAAGTGGGATGAGGATAACGACCACACTTGGTTATTTTATTAAGTTAAACTCTATACAAATCTAGCTAATCAAGACACTACTGCACAGAAGTACAATTCAGGACAGCAGTGGCCAGACCCTGGTAGTAATGAGAACATTTCTTAAACTACTTAGGCCAGTGCCTGCCAAAGCTGAAGCCTCAAGTGAATGAATGAGTTACCAAACCCTCCTTTATCTAATTTTTTGCATTTGTTAATTTAGTTAGTGTGTTTATGTGTGTGAACATGCATGCACATGAGTGTGTGTGTGTGCTCACATGTATGTGTATATCACATACACCACAGAGCAGCATGTCTGGAGGTCAGAAGGAGACTAGCAGGAGTTAGTTCTTTCTTTCCACCAGGGAATGGTTTAGTTCCTTAGGTTTGGGAGCAAGGACCTTTACTCTCTAACCCATTTTGTAGCCCCACACCCTTTGACTCATTAGTTGCTTGGGACAAACCTTAAGTCAAAATTAAGTCCTATAAGCTTGTAAACAGGATAGGTTTTCCAGATATGAATGCTCATAGTATGGTATATGTAACGTGAAGCACAGACATACAATAAGAGCTCTCATGAAGAGGTGAGTACTCTGGATTGGGACATGAGTCTTGATCATGTAATAACATCTTGTTTTTGAAGGCATCTTTGCAAATGGTGATGCTGCACATGGTGAACCACTGTGTGGAATCTCTCTAGCGTTTAGCTTCGAAATAACTTTTCTCCACATGCAAGCCAAGCTAATATAGCAGGGAAGTTCAACCCAGGTCTCTTCATCAGGAACTTGTAATTCCTAAATGCCTGAAATGGACACTTTTCCTGATCAGCATCTGCATTCCCCTTCCAGAAGAGGATGCCAATACTGCTACTGTCCATTGTGGTGTTTCTACACAGACAGACATCTTTGGAGATTTAGTTCTAACATTTTGGAGATCTGTACCCCAACCTTTGCTAAAACCACATACAGTAAATTGCTATTATAATCCCAGACAGTGGGTCACCATGAGAAATGAACTTGCAGTGTACCGGGAAGGAGGCAGTGATGTTAATTAACCACTGGATAAAAAAAGCAACATTAACTGCAACCAATTTTGCCTTCTTTCATGTCTCCCAGGTGTATTCAGTTGCATGTAAATATGAAATTCAGCAAACAATGTATCTATAGAAGTATTGTGTGTCCTTAAAGAAAATATTCTAGGAGTCAGTGGAAAATGGTGCTTACTGTCAAGCCTGACTACCTGAGTATGAGCCCCAGACCCCACACTGCAAAACAGAAAACCAATTTCCAAAAGTTTCCCAGTGACCTACACATACTTGCCCTGGTATGCATGTATCATAAACACACACAAACACACACACACACACACACACACTAAGTAAATAAAAAACAAGCCTTTAAGCAGCAAGAATAACAGCAACAACAACAACAACAACAACAACAGCAAAACCTCTGGACAATGTAAGTGTCCAAAACATCACCAAAATTAGGGAAGCATGAAGACAACCTAGCTAAGATTTCATTCAGAAAGATAAAATCATTATTCCAAAAGTTTCTTTAGAATGGCCATGTTTCTAAATTTAGGAAGTATAACTTGTAAAATAAAATGTTCTATTTGACTTTCTAATATTTAATATTCTCTTTGCTTTAATTGAAAACATCTTTCAAGGTTAAAAATAAGCTATGTTTCTTATCAATTGGGCAAAAGTGGGGCATCCTGGATCTCTGGAGAGGTGCACTAGTATAAACATCTAAAGGAGTAAACGTGAACCAAATATAACCCTCTGAAAGGTTGCTTCCCTCTAAAATCCCAGTAAGTAACTACACTGTATAGGTTTGATAAAAGTTCATTCCCAGGAATATGTTACTAGCAACCCTGTGTGCAGGATAGTGCGTATCCTAACAGATTCTACACCCATGTGCCACAGCCTAAAGCCTAAGTAAGGAGCTGAAAGGTTAAAGTCATTTACCAAATGACAGATAGTGGCGTTACCTATTCATTTGGTTTTGATTGGATGAGTATTTTATAAAACCTTAGGTGAGAGAGGTCAGGTTATATATTAGTTTACTAATTCTTCCTGCTCAGCTGTGAAAACTGGGGTACGATGATGTTCAGAACTCCAAAACCACCTTTAGGCTTAGCAGAATGGATTTCTGGACTGGAATAGAAATGCCTGGCATAGGTGAGGGAAGTGGGTAAGTAGGAAGAATAAGGAATTTCAAATTCTGGCGCTGGAGAGACAGCTCAGTGGTTAGGCAGGGTGCTGTTCTCCCAAAGGATTGAAGGTCAGTTCTCAATACCCTATAGGATGCTCACAACCACCTGTAACCCCAGCTCTAAGGGTCCCCATACCCTCTTCTAAACTCAGCAGGCACTTGCACTCACATATACATACCCCAACACAAATACATTCACATACACATAATTAAAATAAAACAAATCACTCTTGTTTTATTGAAAATAAATTTCCCCATGTAATACATCCCAATTATGGTTCCCTTCCCTCACTCCTCCCAGCTCCCTCCCATCTAAATTCACTCCCTTTCTTTCTCTCACTAGAAATAAAACAGAGTTTTAACAGATAATAGTCAATATAGTATGATATAATATATATATAATAAGATAAAACAAAAACTAAGACATCAGGATTCAACAAAACAAACAAGCAGAAGGAAAGGATTCTCCAAGAGAAGGCAAACAAAAAACAAAACACACACACACAAAAGAACAGAGATGCCCTTGTTCACACACTCAGGAACTCCATTAGGAACACTAAACTGGGAGCCATAATATATGCACAAAGAACCTGGTGCAGACCTGAGCAGCCACTGTACATGATGCCTCCTCAGTCTCCGGTTTTTCAAATTCTGCAATGAAGGAAACTCCAATTCCACACATGTTTCAGCAGGAAAATTTTAAGAAAACAGAATATTTTCTAGAGTTATTTCATGTAGAATTTCAAAGAAAAGAGGCAACTTCAAAAACAAATAATACAGGCTAAAATTTCACTGGCTCACCATTGCTTTTTAAACTTGGAAAAGTCTATCTTAAGACTCAGGCAGAGCACTCAATATTTTCTCGGTTGTGTTTTTCCATATAACATGCCTGGAGTAGGCAAATAGAAAGTAACTGAATCCATTGAAAAGAGCTGGGACTTCTCTTCCACTGAGGTAAGCTTAGCATTACCCAATGGCCTTGGCATTTTTTTTCAAGTTACAGCTCCCTGATACTTTGAAAAGTCTAGTATTCTATCACAGATAGCTAATTAGAAATTAAATTTCATGGGTGTGAATTTAATAAATTTTCACACTCTTTGATTGTTTTATCTTTCTTAAATGAGAATTAATATGGCTAGAGAGAAATAGTTTCCATTTTGTACCTGTTTAGAGTGGCATTCACTATAAAGTAAACTCTAAACCACTTTAGAATAAATTGTGCATTATGCTCTGTGTTTCTGGGCTTGATATGAAAGTAGGCAAGCATCTTTGCTTTCAGGGCAGACTTTTAGACTAAATGACAAAGTGTTGTGTGTTTCCTACTAATCTATAGGAAATTAGCATGCTGTACACTAAACTGCTGATAGAAAAAAAATCACTTTGCTTTTTCTGTTATTTATCTGCATTTCAGATAGACCCTGATCTTGCATCTTAAAATACCAACTGTGAGACATTCTTTTTTTTCTTCACTATCATAACAAATTTCTGTTCCTATAATGTTCACATTTTGTCTTCCTGAAAACACGTTTAGTGAATGAGAATTTTAAAATATTTTTATTCAACGAACACAAATTATAAAAGGTAGTCCTTTTGCAAGACTTTTTTTTAGATGCTTCATGCACTTAAATATTTTCTAAAACATTTAGTGGAATAAAAAGCAGGAGAGAAATTTTTGAAAAATACCCCTGCTGTATAAAAGCCTAGTCCCGGGGAGTGCATTTAGGATTTGTCAGAGAGATTATAGAGTTCAAGTCTTTATTGGAGTGAAACAATGGAGTCATAGTACATCAAAACCCACCGTTTTAACTGCTGAATTTTAAATCTGTGCTGCTGCAATGAACCTACAAATTCCAAATTATTGTGGTTCTGCTGCAGTGATATATGA